GGGGGCCTATTTGTAGAATCAAAGTTGGGAAAAGGAGGGAAACTCTCGGCCGCCATCGACGGGTCAGAAGATGAGCTGTGAGATGAACTACGCGCCATGATGTGATGCTGCGATCGGCCGTGATAGCGAGTGGGTGTTGTGGCCACAGGATGGCGCCAGGCGGGAGCAATTGGGCAGCCAGATCAATCCCCAGCACTCGACTGGAAGCTATTCAGGCAGCTTGAGAGGTTTTTTCGTATTTAATGGATCACCATCGGATCTTGAAGTTGGCGACAGGTACCGCAGACGATTGCGCCGCCGACACACTCAGGGAAAGGTTGGAACCCAAGGTTTTTGGATCCCATCCCATGAAGAAGGGCCTATTCATAGAATCCATGCGCATCAAGATGAAGGGCGTAAGGGGGTCAGGAGGGGGAAGTTTCAGAGAATGACAATTTGAACTGCTCGAGTCGTTCAAAAATCCAGCTCAAAGTACATGGAGGTGCGCGACTTACCTAGTCTATTTCTACCAGGTAAATTACTTTAAGTAGGTACCTAGGTACTGTAGATGCACAGCATCATCATAGCGGGATCTTGAGGGAGTGGGTTCCTCTATGATACAGTATTAGCGCAGGTACTAAGTTTGTTTGGTTGACAGCTCATCTTGGCATAACTACTTGTACTACCTCTGTCAGAACTCTATCCCCATTGACATGGGAGACCAGGTTATAGTAATAGATAGGTATGTATATATATATAGTCTCTTACTCATCACATACAGTTCTCATATTTCACACAAGTAAAACGGTGCAACCAGAGACATCAAGATCCCCCAAGCCTAAAAAACTACAGTTCACTCATCCTACAAGTACCACTATGTCTCTAATAGGCTAGCCAGTCTAACCCAAGTAGATAGTATGACGTAGTTGATCACAACCATGACCTCTCTCAGAGCCCGCATCAAAGAGGCACTGAGTTAGCCATTCAGACCTTCCTATACTACTTCAGTAGCGTAAGGGCCATCTAGCCCAGCGAAACATGGGTACGTACGAGGCCCGTCGGCTCGAAAATATCAGGCGGAATGAGAATCTCGTGAAAGGACTGAGTCTCCAAGGTGAACTTGTCTCACAGTCCAGGATCCCAGGTCGCCGGCCCTCTGTGTCAAGAGAGGCAGTATCAAAACGTCGTAAACTGCACGCACCTCAGCCTACTCGCGCATCAGCGCGCATCGCGAATGCATACAGTAAACCAAGTTACACACATGACGGAGAAGATAACTCATCTCCCACTAGGAGTCAGCCACGCCGTAAAATATCAGGACTACAGCAGCGAACACCAGAAGAAGCAACAGCAACGGCAACGGCACAAGCGTCTTCTCCATCCCCAAGCCCGGAAACACAGCAAGGAGAAGACCTGGAGGCCTTGAGAGCGAGCTGGTCATCGTGGAAACCCTCGGCACCGCCCCCGACACGCGATGATGAAGGCAACTACCACTTCGAGTCCCACCCCCTGTTCACACCCAACAAGTCTCCCGAGGCGATAATCCGTGAAGGGAGCTTCGGCGGCTCGTATTGGCGGCCCCTATACTCTCGGCATCTAAACGCCACCATCTCGGAGGACTGGCGGGAATTGCCGGACTCCTGGACAACCAGCCTGTCCGTAGAGCGTTATCTCACCTCGAATACATACAACGCGGAGATCAACAAGTACGGCGTAGCCTGCGGCCAGAGCATCGAGGAATGGGAGGCTTCTGGTTGGATCGCCCACCAGTATGATATACGCGGCTGGTTTCAGTGGTTTTGCCGTTTCTGGCTGGGTCGACGGTGCGAAGACGACGAGCGCCAGATCAGCAGGTGGAGGAAGTGCGTTGGCGAAACCGGTAGATGGCGAAAAGCATGTAGGTTATTTCCATCGTCAGTCTTGCGACCGTACCTCCCATGCAAGTGCCCGTGGATTGGTTGGCTTGGGGCATCTCATCAAGAGTCTCTTGATAAGTATCACGGTACTGTTCAAGCTAATGGTAGGGATCTTCAGTGCTCAAGAAGTACGTGCAGAATGGTGTCCGCATGGTAACAGACGAAGACGATGAAGTGGAAGAAAAGAAGGACATCAGCCCAGTTGTGCACCAGGTTGGTCATGATTACCCATGCCAAGACTCGGTCCATAACGATAAACTAATTCATCTAATTACAGACATGTCACCATTGGGCATGGGAGGTTAGACAAGAAGCACTTGATCGGTTCTGGAGGGACTACACGTAACAGTTATGAGTTTGGGGTCTTACCAACCCGACAAAAACGGCAGCTTATAAGATTTATATTAGTATAAACATTAAGGGCGATTAGAACCCAAGCCTTACGCTCTAGGTGCCTGGAGACATATAACGCCGCTCACTTGATCTTTTTTTCTTGTCAACTATTCTTCGTATCCATAGTCCAGGAAGCTGCTCACTGGCCAACCATTCTGAATGTTGTACGCGTCAAGGTAAGTGGTACCATGAAGAACATCATACTGCACCTCAAGACCACAGTCGATGCTGGTCGCATTGTTACACTCCGTGTGCTTATCAGGGCCGTTTAGCAACCCAGCAATGCGCTGTGCAACATCGCGACCCTCGAACCAAGCGCCCTGCAAGAAGCCATAGTACTGTGCCGAGGTGCCTTCGCCGGCAAACCACAGTCTGTCAACGTTGGCTCGCAGGTTCTGGTGCTTTTCGAGGGTCATCCCGACGGGCCAGTTGCTGTAGGAGCCGAAGGCCCAGTCTTCCGTGCTCCACCGCGGGTACATGAAGGCAATGGGCTCCGGGATGTCCTTGTCGGGGAACATGGCTCTGAGGACTGCGAGGCATTCGGCCTTAGTCACCTCGTCGGGCTGCTCCTCGATACGATAAGACTCAGATCCCACCACCGTCGCGAAGATGATATTCGAGCCCTCGTGGAAGCCTGGGCCGCTAAGTGACTGCCAAACCGGATAGTAGCCGCGAGTGTTCGCATCGGCATAGAGAAAGTATTGCGTGTCCACGTCCCAGAATGTCTCGTTGAACTGGAGGAACACCTTAGTGTACGTCCCCATCTGGAACTGCTCAATAGCCTCTCGCTTCCAGCGTGGGAGCTTCGGCTTGAACTCGACGATGTCGTTCTGCAGGACACCCACCGAGAAAGTTGCGATGGCATCTATAATTTAGTTAGTAACAATTCTGGTGGCAATACTACCAAATCAGACGGGCTCGCTTACGCTCGGCTTCAAGGCAGCCACCGTTGTCGAAGATAACGGTAACACCCTGGGGACTGTAGGCAACGGATTTGACCATCGTGTTCAGCATGAGGCGTGGGTCGTTCTTCTTGAGGAACTCGTTTGCCTCGCCGATAATGAAGGCGTTGAAGCCCCTTTGGTCGATGACAAAGTTGTTCTCGTCGCTCCATTGGTAGAAGGTCAGGTTGTAACCCGTTATACCATACAGGAAACCGGACTGCTCCGGCGGGTAGGCTGTCTCCCAGTCCCAGTACCACCATTCGATAGCCTGCGCGTGCATGTCCTTCTTGGGTTTCCAGCCCGCGACGCTGTAGGCAGCGCGCATGCTGGTATCCTGGAGGTTTTCGGTCAGGACATAACCAGCGTCTTGCTCGACGATCGAATAAGCGGCGTCCATATCGTCGAAGAGAGAGCCAAAGTCGGCGGCGCCCCCCTCGTCATAAGTGAGGATGGAGCTGTAGTTGGAGTACGTGTTCTGCACGCGGTACTTCTTTGCCAATGTCCAGATGGGATTCTCGGGGCCGCCTGGCGTCCCCAGGCCCTGCACCCAGTTCGCGCCGAGCTCGACCGTGTAAGGCGAGCCGTCGGCCTTCTTGCCGAAGTCTGCGTGCTTCACCCTGCCGCCGATGTAGTCGTTACGTTCCACAATGATGAAGTCTGTGACGGACGCGTTGACTAGGGCCTGCGCCGCCGTGATGCCGGTCACCCCGGCGCCGAGGATGGCAACCTTGGTCTTACGACATTGACTAGCGTGGACGGCCGTGTCGGCCACGGGCACAGCGGCGGCTGACGCGCTCAGGGCGCAGTACGCCGCGACGAGGCGTTGGGCGGAGGGTCTCATGTTGATGCCGATTGCCGTGTGATGTGGACTACCTACTCGGCGGTGTCTTTGACTCGTCGAACGTCCTAGTCATCAGAAGACAGGAGAGGCATTGTCGCATGCCTACCTATCTATATACGCACGCGCGTATGCAGGTACTGAGAGATTAATCCTACGGATCCCGGGGTGCAGTGTAGGAATCGGGCATATCCGAGGGGGCTAGGATTTTAGGGCGGCAGCCAGGCCCTGACTAGGCCTGACTAACGTGTACCACTTAGACAACCGTAGCGGCAATCTTATCTTCGTGCCAGACGCGTATGCACGCAGAGATGGCTCGATTGAGGTCGGTCGACACTTGTGCTGGAGTGTTTTGCCGGCCTCGACATCAATACGTTCAAGGGGCCAGTCCAGCGCAGCCGACTCAGTCGATGCAGCGCAAGGCACAGTGAATTGAAAAACTCTTGAGAGCTGAGACATGAGCCACGGCGCGCATGCATGCAGTGCAGATCTTCAGTGTTCCAGCCACAACCCAATAATAGGCTCATGATAGATAACGTATCGCAACAAACTGCGGGACTCCAGCTGATCTGCGGAGGTGTGGTCTAGCGGCACCGATGAGGTCCTGACATCATTTCCGGATTCCCTATCTAGTAGTACGCTTTGATACGATGCCAGATTAAGAATTCGGGTTCGGGGACGATAGCGCCTCTCGCATCGACTTTCCCTTTCCGTTCCTACGGCCGTACGATAGTAACATAACTGGCCTACAGCGTAGAAAAGGGAGGCGGGGATGGGGAAAGAAAAAGAGATGGATTCTAACAACCATAGATAGCATGGTGTAGTACCTAGATTAGGAAGCAGATTGCCTGCGTACTATGTATGTATATGCGTCAGGTCTACTTACGTATTCCGTTACGTAAACGAAAGTTCTAAAAAATGATAAAAAGATGACAAGAGTGGGACTTGAACCCACGCGGATTGCTCCATGAGGAAACTGTTTGCTAAGGTGAACCTTAACCTCACGCCATAACCAACTCGGCCATCTTGCCTCGCAATGTGTTCGACCTGCGCTCAAACATGAAGTATAGCTAGTTCAATAGAGAGAGGATCAACAAATCTAGAGGACTATCTACTGCAGAACCCATATCCAACACCCTCCACCAGGAAGGCCTTTTAGTCTTTCCACATGTTATCTCTCAAACATTATAATGCTCAATAGTAGTTAATTTTGATTATTTTACTATGTCTTGACGTAGCGATATGCTAATTACTTGGTAGCAACTCCTCGAGATCATTGAAGCAGCACATGTCTAGTGACGGGTGTTGTAAGTAAGGCTGTGAGCGTATAAACTACCTAGGTATTGAATAGGGATAATAACAAATATTTCTCCGCCACTACCTAGGTCCTCGGGGCGCTATTAAACAATCATGCAACTAAATACTCGGCCCAGAGTGGAAATCTCAAGGCCGGGATATTTGTCCGATCTGCCTCGAAGCTCACGGCCACCGAATGCAACGCTGGTATTGTAGCTTAGCAAGACCTTTGGCCTTGACTCTTTGCAGCCTACGAGATTTGAAAGCGTTTCATGCTTCACTATGTAACCTGGGGGTCTCTAGGTTGAGCTATCGACAGCGGCTTATTTCCCCTTATCCCCTGAGCTTGAAACCATTGTCGCGGTAACCTGCATCGAGTAGTCACATATCACGCCTATCGAGCCAAGTTAGCCTTGAATTAATATGCGTACTCAGCCCCAGGCACCTGCGTTTGCTAAATAACTGTAACCCAAAAGGGTGACCCTATACGATCATCTCCGATGCCCACCAATGGCTAGGCAGAGTTGAGGTGTGGACACAGGAGTAACCGCGATAAAAACTCCGGTCTATCTATATAGGGACAAGTTCGCAACGTAAACTCTGCTACGACAGATAGGGCTGCCCTCCTTGTGCAATAATTATAGCTATTTTGGGTATCATTGCCAGCTAGAATTATAACAGATAGCTTTTATCCACTTAACAGTTAGCTAAAATAATATTCCAGCTGCGAGCTAATACTAGGAATCCGAAAGCTAGCTTCCGTACCTAAGTCTATGTGCATAGTAAGTTATTTGTTGTTCCTGGTCGGCATTTTGACGGCAGCATTTTATTATATAAAGAGTGGTGAAGATGCATCATTATATGGGTATGTATCTTAGTCTGGTTATCCCACACCTGCTTGGATTTAACGATACAAAAGGAGCAATTTTTTGCCGGACGGCTCCAATCCGGCTGTTCTCCTTTCAATGAAGCTGCCCTATTGGCTAATAGCCCTCAGCTTTTACTCTCATTTTGTTATCTGGCGGCAAGGCTTACTGTCCAAGCTACACGCTATCTGTTTAACGGTTGCTCGTTCACATCTTTTAATGGTCTTCAAGTTGAACATCTCAGTGAACGACGGAACCACTTTTTTCTTGTTTCATACTAATCGCTTGGGTATAGTACAACAACCTGTTCACTCGCATGCAAATGGCTGAAGAATGGGCTATGCTAAGTGTAGCTTACCGTCCTTTAAGAGTTACCGACCCCCAAGTAAGTGTTTCCCTGCCAGAAATGGGAGAAAGTAATCAACAGTCCTTGATGTAAGGGCGAACAAATTTTGACTTATTGATTACAATTGCCGTACAAATACAGCCTACTTCTCATGGGCGTAAGTATTGACTTGCATTGGTTACTCTCAAATGCAATATGTGTTTTTGTGTCAACAGGGGGTGGGTGTTTTGATAATTTAATGAAAATGTACAGTGTATGGACGTTGTCTCACACAAAACTAAGCTACTTTATCGACCTCAACTATGACAATCCAAGCTTGCCACCAAATACAGCCGTTAGCATAAAATACTCAGAAGCTGCTCTTATCAGTTTAATAATAGCATCTAACTCCTTAATCTTGATACCTCTTCTACTTGCCTTTGGGTGACTTCCTTCTGGCGGCACTAATCCCGGCTGTAACTCGCTAGCACTCGCCGCTGTGTGCTATGCATTGATACCGTCGCACGGGTTCGGAAGTCAGTTAGGGAGGCTTCTGGATTCAACTGAAGCTTTAGAGTCAAACATATCGGGAGAAGCATATGTCTCGGAACAGGCCGTGTACGAATTGGAACCAATCTGTCCCAACACTGGGAAGTCGTGGAGGAAAATCGTGGAGAGCCAGATTCGGTGGGGCGTCATCAAGACGCCGCCAGACTGTTACACTCAGCATGCGGGAAATATCCGGGTAGGGCATCTCGGTTTTGGTGTTGAAGAAGATAAAGTGTATTCGCTTATCCTTGGTCACTATTACGTCTAAGATTCTATCAAGGGGTTAGGGTCAGCAAGAAACGGCTCAGCGCATTTCTAGTTACTTCGCTCCGAGAAATGAGTGTAACTATCTACTATACGTATCCCATTAGCTTGTGCTCGACACCAGGATACTGCGTAATAATAATTTATACTATACAAGTCTTCCTACTGGGCGGCGCCGCTCTGTAGGCTCCCTACCTTCTAAATTCCCGAGATCCTCTGCATCGTTGGCCATCGACCACAGAAGGGATACAGTCCGTGAACCTTGGTCACAAGAACGCCGCGTGCCGATGGAGAACTGGCTCTTCCTCAACACAAAAGTATCATGCTTAACGTAGTAGGTTATACGCGGAAATTTATGTATTCCCCTTCCTGCTCCTCTGAGAGGAAAATTATTTTAGTTTCTGTTCTAAAATCGCCCGCGATTGTTGATAGCGTTTGACCAATAAGGGAGTTCACATGTCCTAGATCTACTCTATCAAGCAAGATCCCTTACGACGACTCCACTCAAGCTTCTGTGGTAGATTTTAATATCAAGAAGTCTTCGATTTTAATTCTAGAAGTAGATCGTCAAGCCCCTAAGTCCAGTCATGTAGACCTTTCTTGTCTAGGAGCGTTTTCCTCGGCCTGGGGATAATCATGGACCGTGAATTCTCTTGGCGTTGAAGGGTTCTTGCTAGTCTTCCTCATTTTCTCTTTGTGATATCAGTTATACTTGGAGTTGTTTGCCTCAGCGGGTGATTTCTTTACTTTTAGAGCCAGATATAGCTGCCGCAAAGCCAATTCTTCAGCTTTATTGAAAGCCGCAAGTAATAGCGAAGCCTAAACCGGGCTATGAGACGGTTGAAAAAGAAAAGGAGAAGATGGGTAAAATGAGGCTGATAATTCTGATCACATTTTATCTATCACTCGATCTGTATCGACAGAGTTTCGACGTGCCTCCAGTCAAATGTCTATCGTCAACGACAGGATACGATAGGGTCGGCGCGTTGTGATGAGCCGGGTACCACCTTTTTACTACGAGTGGTCTTTAGGTACCTTAGTATTAGGGGATTTGGCATATAGATCAAAATATCGAGCTTGCCTCGGCTCACAATCAGAACCTTCGCATTTAACTCACTCAGGACAACAACATTTTTAGTGGCCAAAGCTGTGCCTTGATTTTCGTTTTCGTATTTCGGATGGGGTAGAGCGGCATGCTAACATCAAATCATTTCATAACATCATGCCTGAATGAGTTGAAAATAAGCCACCGGGTATTCAGACCTCCAGGTGATTTTGTCATAAATGCGAATGTTAATTCGCCATCAATTAATCAGCCCTTTTCAGACGCCGTGCCCTATGCTACCTAGCCCGTAGTGGTTCCCCTGTGTTCATTTCACACAATATTTACTCCTCATCCTCGTCCTCTTCCTCAGCCTCAGCGCAAGTCTGAGCAATTCCTAAAGAAAGTTAGTCTCTGAATGTGAATATGTGGGGTTCTAAATTCGGCGGCTTTACGGTCAAGATCACGTTGTCCTGGAGACTTGTTAGTAAGTGATGACAAATTGGAGGAGGGAATAATTTACCGGACTGAGTAATGCGGCGGCCACCCTTTTCAGCGTCTTGTTCAACAACTCCGATCTTCTCGAGAGCCTGAAGGACCTTGCGATCGACAGAGCCAGAGGCGTCTACGTGGTGGCTTGGCCTTACGCCACGGTTCTTTGCGGTACCGTGCGTCTTGCGCAGACGGCCACTTCATCATAGAGTCAGATTTGCCGGATTTTGACGAATTTCAGTGCTGCAGAAGCAGAATGATTGCTTGTGGTGGAGACTTACACGCCCACCGTCTTTCTCATGTACACACTACAAGCTGTTAGCTGCTACGAAATTGCTATACGGCAAGGGAAACATACTGGCGAGCCACAGCAGCAGCACGGACGTAGAACCAATCCTCAGACTAATGCGTGGTAAGTAACGAGAAAATCGGGATGAAGATGTGTGGATGTTTGCTCGCGTCACGAGTCGTAACTATGGGAAACCTCCCAGATGCAAGTAATTTATGGAAATCCACGCCAGATTGGGCAAGATATCTGGTATCAACTAACCTGAGGAGGGCTATTTACAAGTGTTAGTGAGTCTTGCTCCCAGGCAGAATGGTATGTAGGCCTGGACTTACAGCTCGCGACTAACTCCAGTCTTTACGGTGTCCACCCAGCCCTAGAAAGCGTTAGATGAATGAATGATCCGCTAATAGGTTATTGGTGGGAGGTTCGTGGGAGATCGATGGGAGGTTTATGGAAATAAGTTACCGGAACTTGGAGCTTGCCCTGGCGCTTCAAGCTGGATTCCAATGTCAGCATAACCGTTCAAGCGGTCGAGTAGTTGATCAATGGATTGATTGATTGTGCGACTTACAACTGCGAGTAGGTCTCGATGAACTTGTGCTTTACACCAAAAATCGTTAGCCATGAATCCGTCAACGGAGATCTTTCGATCCCCTCGCGCCTGCTCTCGAAGATATGTATGATGTTGGCTGTGCTGTGGCCGACAGATCGCAACGTCGATGATTCTCGAATGGCTGAGCGGCGCGAGGTCATCTCAAGATGGCATGAAGCTAGCTCACCGCATCAACATCGCGAACGCCAACCATGGTTGCGGTATTTTTCTTGGTTTGGCTGGCTAGCTTTGGCTTTGGTCTGGACGGTTGGGTCTGCGGTCGGACAGTCAAGAGGCGGGAATTGTCGGTCGGTCG